TTCCTTCAAAGCTCAGATAGCACATGGTTCTTGAGTTACTGTAAATAGCATTACTATATATTGAGGACTACGATGATGTGTGCACAATATTGTTTAAGGTTAAAATAATCCCTGGCACTAAAATATGGTATTGTATTTCATAAAAACATGAGTACATACTGGAAAAAATTAAATAACTGTGCATCTTCTGATAAGATTTTCAAGAAATTATTTCTTTCCAAAATCACGTTTGGGGGCATCTACATTTCAGTGTAAAAATTAGATGAATGCCAGTCTGCTTTTATATTTCTAGGTGGCCTGCAAAACAACAAAAGAAGTAAGTAACTGGTTATTATTTTTATATCGGGATTTTAAAAATCTCGAGTTTCAGGAGGCTGCATGCTCCCCGGGCAGCGACAGGCCATGATAACTGCACTATTGGAGACCTGACCTGACTTGGACGCCACTTGAGTATCCTTGTAGTGACTAGAATTGTCTCCCTCTTGTCCCAACGAGGACAGGGGTGTCGGTGAGCAGAGGTGAACTGGCCAAGCTGAGTTTCTGTAATGCTGGAGGAATGAGCCGTGCCTGGGGTGGGCCACACAGGGAAGAGGGGCTCAGCACTTTGTGAATCAACTGGTCCAAGGGCAGTTGCTCTGCAGAGACCTCCTGGATTCATCACAAGACAGAAATGTCCCGTGATGATCAAAGAGGGTGCAGCCTTGCTGGGGGCACTGGAAATCATTATTTTGTGAGCCTCCTGTTCTCTGATGCGTGCTGCTCTAACCAAGTTTCCTAAATAGAGGAGAGAATATCTTTTCCTTTGCAATTTCTAGATGACTTGGGTAGTCCTAAAGTTTTGGTGGTTCTCCAAGATCATTTAGGGCAGCTAATATGTTATTAGTTTTTGTCTGTTTTAGCAAAAAACTGCAATTGGCATTTCCCATGTGATGCTGCGTGTTGCAGGCTCATCTGTTTCTTGCCCAGGATGATGTTTCCAGCTTCATCTTTGATCTTTACCCTCCCGGAGATGTACTTGGTTTCCTGACAGCCGCTGCAATAAACAGTCTTTTCGGTGCCATCTGGGTACTCCCTCCTCTTGAACTGGGTCTTGTGGATTTCTTTCTGCCCATTGGTGAGCACAATGGTTTTGTCGCCATTCCCAGAAGAGGAGAAACACATGGTAAGGTGGCCTGCACCAGGGCCAGTGCTGCCAGTGTGGAGGCCAGTGGGGGTGGGGGAGCACAGAATAATGCCCCCACCCAGGTCTGGAGCCTTCCTCCCAAATCTCGTTAGATGAGGGTGCAGAAGGCCACGGGCAGGGGCAGGAAAAGTGCACGGGGGGCTCAGGGAATTGGCAGAAACTCAGTGTGGGTGAGAGAGGGCAGGTGGGGAGGGCCAGGAGCAAGGCCGGAAGGCAAGTGCCGCCGCCCAACCGGAAGCCAAAACCCGAGCCGAAAACCGGCCCCGAAGGGGAAAAGGAACACAAGGGTGAAAAAAGGAAGGAAAAAAAAAAAACGTGAAACACTTCAAAAAAAAGTCCGAACGCCAAGAAGAAACCAAGGGAAGCCAATGGAAATGCCCAAGAAAAAAAAGGGGAAAAGGGGGAGATGGCAGAACTCAAAGAAAGGGTGGAGGAGGTGGGGCAGCGAGGAGACACAACCCACAGCGCTCGGTGTTCACTTTGATATCAGGAAAGAAAGGGAAGGTCTAAACTTCCCACACTTTCCCTCAGGCAGCTGGGTGGATCTTTACTTTCTGCACAAACTAGCATTGAAATTGCAGCTCTGATGAGCTCTTCCTTGGTGTGCCTTAAATATTTGCTTGCACATGTTCTGCAATAGACTCGGGCTTCTAGACCACGTGGTCTGCTGTGGGCACTGAAGACTGGAGTGATTTTCACGGTTGTAATTCAAAGGCAGCTAATGTCGGTGAAGTAAATACCTAAAAGTCCATTTGAAACCCACAGTCTCTATAAAGGGATTTAAATCAAGGCCATAAGATAAAACTTCTAGAGTCAATGACATTATTTTCTGTTTTTTTATACAAGCACTTAAATGTTTGCAGAAATCTAAATTAATATAAGGAAATTATTAAATACACAAACAAAAACTGGGGATGTTTCGGGTTCGCATTGTCTGACATTACTGACCTTTCCACCCTCACGATTGTCCCATCAGGAAATAAGGTCTCTTCCTGTCCATCCTTGAGATGTTTCACTGTCCCGTCAGGAAACACAATTTCTTTGGAGCCATCGCGGTAGAATTTTTCTGCAGAATGCAGTTTTTAAGTGTATGTTACATTGAATCTGTTTAGAAACATGTTCTATCCTAGTAATCTATAAAATATTCCTGAGATTTATATAGAGAGTATTTTCTAATCATCTGGCTTTATAACTAGGGTTGCCAGGTATAATACAAAATGGCCAGTGAAGTTTGAATTTTAGATAAATGATGAATAATTTATTTATATTATTATTTTTTTTTTTTTTGAGACAGAATCTCACTCTGTTGCCCAGGCTGGAGTACAGTGGCATGATCTCGGCTCACTATATAACCTCTGCCTTCCCAGTTCAAGCAATTCTC